AGCATTTTCAAAATTACCGTCAAAAACATCTTATCTCCCTAACACACCCCACCATCAACTGACTACACGAAAACCACCAATTCGTGCACACACAATACATCCTCTTGACCCAAATGACTATGAACATAAAATTGCCTATTAAATCTCAAGCTAGTCCAAAGTGTGCCTGAGATACTCCAATAAAAGAGCTTCAATTAGAAACTGTGTATCATGCCAAGACAAAACTATTCTCATTACTAATTTTGCAAATTGTTATATTTTTAAATGTTCTGAACTACCTCACTATTGTAAGTAAATTCATTTAATCATTTGGAATTTAGAATATAAAATAAGAATTATTATTGGTCTGCCCGAAATACCTAGGCTTGCTAGGCATGCTAGTGGCCTTATTTGTAAGTGTTGTTTAATAATATAAACATTTCAGTTTAAATTTTAAAAAAAAAAATGTTTGAATGTGCGTCGGTGTAGTGCACAAGAGAAGGTAAAAAATGATTGGTAACTGTGGAAAATTACATTTACCTGGATGTTTCTCATTAGATACATACCGGTAAATGGTAACAAAGATAATTATTATTAATCAAAGTTACAGAGACAAGTAGGAATTTTTGGGACACCTAGGTCGCAAAAAATATCCCCCTTCGATACCTACCATAATCTATCTCTCCACAAGTTACTCTTGACCTATTAATTGCAAATGAAATATGCATTACCAGGAATTCTGGTAAAATTTAATATAAATTTGAGGACTGTATATTAAAATTGATAAATGATTATATATACACATTTATATAACAGAAGGAGAATTTATAATCATAACACTCACCAATTAGTCTGGAGATTACTGTGTATCATGTACAGAACCCCCTCTAACTAAATTTATGATGATAACACTGGCCAGAATTACAAACATAATTTAGATAGCTTATCTGAGGTTCCTGAAGCTGTCCTGTCCATCTTCTTAATGCTCAAATTATGCAGGAATGCACATCCAACAATATCGGCTCCTATTTGAGAGGTTTAAGCCCAATATAACCCCTAGAGCGACGAAAATTATACACATTACATTAACGTGTTTGTAACACATTTAAAAAACAATGGCGACTCCTCCCTCCCCACAGCACAGGCACAGAGCTTCCCTCTCCAGTCTCTTTTTCATTTACAAATTAATTTTTATTAAATAAAATGTATTACACTAATTTTCATAAAAAATACACGCTGGATTTTTCGGAAAATACATTATTTTCCACAGTAATGATATGAATCAAAGGATGATGAATTGTCTAGCACAAGGCTAATATTAGCTATGAAAAATGGAAGAATTTCAGTGAGGAGAACTCTAGCTAAGGAGCGGACAGTAGTATTATCAAATGATGAAATATGGAAAGAGAAAATGATGGGAAAAAAAAAATTCTTAAATTTAAGAATTATGTTATGCAGGTTTCACCATTAACATGTATATTTCAGGTGTAAATATTGTGGCGAAAAAAGTGCTCCACAAATGTTTAAAAATCGTCAGCACTTAAGAGACGTGTATTAGACATGGCCAGTTGGACAGGTGAGTGACGTCATTAGCATCACTTGGGAGCAGTCGCTGGCAGGTCGCCAACTTAGCATTTTCCGTCTTTTTTTTTTTTTTTTTTTTTTTTTACAAAACTGTGGGGACGCGTTTTTAGAGTTTTTTGAGATGCTTTAGCGCGAAATCTCGTACGTTTTCGCATTATTTTTTTCCCAAATCTTAGATGAATATCTATGTAATAAACAAAAGCCTAAATAAAAGTATGGAAAAAATAAGCTTAATAATGAATCTCAATAAGCAGCTTTGTGAAGCTCAGGTTTGACAGGTCCAGATCACGTTTTGTTGTGACTCACCTGACGTGAGTGATAATGTCCTGGGCTGTGAACCTATGACTGACTGACAGACTCTCTGACAGTCTGACAGACTCTCTGACAGTCTGACAGACTCTCTGACAGTCTGACAGACTCTCTGACAGTCTGACAGACTCTCTGACACATCCATCACACCCGGTTGGCTTTTGTTTAGACCCTCCCTTATGTTATCTGTTAACATTACTATTATTGTCGCTTTATTTGCTCTGAGTATTTATTATGAACAAAAAATATATTCAGCATTTAGTGTCCAGTGACTCAGTGACTCGAAATACCAAAAAATGATTAAGGAAAATAGAGGACGATGATATAAAACATTTTCGTAAGTATTGCAATTGGTCAACTGCAGCTAAATTAAGTGACACTGAAAGACAAAAAAATTACTGCCAAGTCAAGAAAACTAAAGAACCATTAATTAAGTAAAAAAAGAAACACAATGCTTCATTTTGAAGGACTTAGCGATTTTTGTAACAATACAGAGGGAAATATATTTTTTGTTCATTGCTGAACATTGTTCATTATGAGTAAAATAAATCACGTAATTGAACTCTGCAAAGAATATTTTGCAGACAGTTCTTGATGTAAGAGCCTTAAGCTCAGGAGGACAAAATGTAGTATAGTTGTGTACGATGTACTGACATCATATTTAAGTGATGACTTGAAAGCTGTTTACTGGAAATAGTAAATTCAGTTTATTAATAGATGAAAAGAATGATATTTCTGTAACTAAAACATTAGGTATTATTCTGAGACAAACTGAGGTTACTTATTTAAACTTAACTGAATTGTATGAGGGGCAATGCTGATGTTATATGCGAGGCTTTAAGGAATACTTGAAAATGATGAACTTTAGTTTAATTGACTGTTCGTCATAAACTGCATCCTGACAGGGGTTTTTTAGTCTAATAGTGTGAGATCTGGAAAGAGATGTCTTGAGAATCTGAATTTTGATAGCTAGGGACGTCTTACCTGTTGAGATGTCGATCTAATTCAATTTTTCTGTGTGGAGTGTCTTGCTGTAGTCCCTGTGCGTTCTAACGTAAAGCATTTAAGGTAGTAGAGTGAACTGAGGCCATCAGGCAACCCCCCTTGTTTTGGTTTGGGTGGTCGGGACATTTGCAAATATAATGGATGTAGTCTACATTGTCCAAAACGAATATAATGAAGATCTTCACATTAGTTCAGAATGTCTCTTTGTTTTTCTGCTGAGTCTATTAGGTCACATATGACCTCGGTGAAGCAAGGGGATTGTCAACTTCATTTGATTGCTCAGGGGCACCCACCACTGAGTAGCAGCCTTCTGGACGAGGCTGCTGCTCAGTGGTCGGTGCTGTACCAGATGCTGGAGGGTGGACAACTGGGGTTTTTTCCCTGCTGCCATGACTTAGCGGAGCTTCCTGGGTAGTGCAGTTCCAGATTTGATGCTTCTTTGAGTAAATGTTTTAGAAAACTTACAAAATGGTGGATAAACACTTATGCAAAGCTTGGGAATCTTCATTTTAGTAACGTTTCGCCAGCCAGTGGCTTCTTCAGTCAAATGCAGAGAAACGGTTTGGACGATAAGGGAATTTGAAGTAATCAGTCCGTCAGTCTGAAGTCGACATGTTGAGTCCATTAAAACTTGGTAAAAGTGCAGGACATTCACAGAGAAGAGGTGATTTAATCACTATATATACTCATTCTTAGTTATCTCTATTGTTAGGGAACTATTTCCCAAACGTTTCGCCTACACAGGATGTTTCTTCAGTAGATATAAGGTGGCACAGAAGAGAATATATGTAAAGACGATGTAATCAGTCCACCACCTTTCATGACGTAGTTATGAGGTGGTCAGTCCCTCAGCCTGGAGAAGCGTTCTCCATCTTAGTGTGGAACAATGTGATACTGAAGTAACAGAATAGAGACTAATATATTGTCAAAGGTGCGGCGCATATGTTTGACGGCAGGACAGTAGAGTGACTGGGTAGCAAACCTACTGGGTAGGTCCTTGTTAAATTCAATCCTTCTCACTCGTAATTAGTGGTTAGGAAAAGAAATATAAAAAATGTCTTCTGTACCAAGATACCGTTAGGTTGTATTGTCTGACACTGAGAATATGATAGTGGTATATAAAATACCGACAAGTGGATAAGCATTAATATTGTAGAAGTCACTCGTGGCAAAACGTTTCCTCAAATAAATGACCTGAACTGTACATAATTATGTTTTACGTACCTGCTATAAAGGGGCAATGAGAAAAAGATGAGGATGATATATAAAAGTGGACTTGATAGGCCAAAGAAATTTTCTGTGTGAAGTGGAATGAGGATTGGAACTGTATGACAGACTGTAGATACGAAGTAAAGTTGCAGGAAATGCAAAAGAATATATGTTTTTAATCGAGAATATAAGAGGACAAAGACAGGAAAAGGTTGTAGGTTGCTAAAAGAAGTAAAAAGGTTTTTGTGTGGATGGTGAGGCTTAGGGTTTGGGTAAGTACGGGCGAGATGATTTTTTTTCTGTGAAAGAGGGTCTTACATGATATTCGATGTTTCCAATGTTTTTCTTACAAAATTTATTGATAGGACTGTAAATGAATGAACACTGTGATGCTGGGGAGAGATGTGGATGAAAAAATAACGGATTTAATACAAAGTAGAAGTTGTCGCAGTTGCTTTTTCCTGATGACACTGTTCTTATGGGAGAATCTTAAGAGAAGTTTCTTTAAAGTTGGTGGAGAATTTGAAAGGGTTTATAAAAGAAGGAAAATTTCATTTAATACACAAAAAAGAACAAGTTGAGGTGAATGACGAACTCTCTAGAGGATGAAAGACTAGAAATATGAATGGATGTAGTAAATGTGAGCAGAAATTGGGGAGTGGACTCGTCAGCCAGAGAGTTGTGTGCAAAGTCTTGACTAGAAATTTGATTACTAGAAATATTTCTTTTCGTTACTGGCATGGACAACAAACCTATACAACAGCATAAGGTTGGAAAAAAACGAATGAACTGAAGAAAATCCTAAACCATTATTCATTAAAACATCCATAAAACAAATTAAAATTTGAATACGAGATTATACCACTTGCTTCTATAACGATAAATATGTAAAATCACACATACACACGACTCACGTTGCCCTCAGTAATGCTGCCGGTGACCACTGGTGAGACGAATCCAGGTATAGTTGCCACTGTGTTGGTGAGGCCTAAGAGGGAACCTGCTAAGTTAGGGGAGAGGTCCTGATGGGAGGACATATAGCCGCTGTAGACGGCCCCGTTGAGCCCGACTGCCACACACAATACTCCCATAGCCAGCTTCTCGTCGCAGTTGACGAAACACATGGCAATGAGACCAAGCATTGGCCCGAATATACCTGAGGAAACATCTAGAGATAAGAATGCAAGAAAGGAGGAGCACTGCAGCAGGCCTACAGACCCATGTAGGCAGGTGCGGCTTTCACCCAACCACTCATTTATTGGTCCAACCAATACTTAAAGGTACCATAGGTTCCCGAATCCGTGAATCTTACTAGAATTTGTACATGAATGGTATACAATACCAACAAGATAAAAAATTCATCTTGTTGGTATTGTATACTAATCGATGTACAACCTGTCAGGCACTGCAACATCATGGAATCTTGATTCAGAGGACATCTTCACAACCTTCTTCTCGAAGACTCGAAGACTATTACCACTAACCCGTCCCTCTGGTATGACTAACTTCCACTGAGGACAACCGCCAGTATATAAGCGCCAGTCTTCTTGCCTGCGATCCAGTTTCTCCACGACAACGATGCTCTTCGCACCAATTCCAAGGCTGAGGGACTGATTACCTCATCTTTTTTATATAGTTCTAGTCTTTCAGTTATGTCCTTGATTATGTATTTGATAAAACCACTGGATGGCGAAACGTCTACAATGAAGATACTCAGATGTTGCACAAGTGTCTAATTTTTATACTAGAGTGTGTTCCACTCATTCAGAGCTCTAATGTGAAATCAGTGCTTTTCTACATCCTTTCTAAATGTATAATGTTTACAAACATGAACCCACTGCTGTTTGTCCTGTCTTGGTTAGACACTAATGTTGCTCTTCATTTCCAATTAGTTCATTTCTATCTTCCATTTGAGTTCTTTAATCACACTCTCATTAATTTTGTGCCTACAGAGAGCAAATTTCGTGTCCTTAGTCAGAAGAATTAGAAAAAATAGGCAACATCTGGGTTTCTTTATAATATAGACGTTTCGCAAACAAGTGATTTATCAATACAACACAACAGAATGAAGAGGTAAAAGATGAGGTACTCAGTCCCTCTGCATAATAGCTGGTACTCAGTACCGTCTTGATGAAACTGAAGCACAAACAGCAAGACGTGGGCTTATATACCGGAGTCAGATGAGATGAAGGTATTACCACTGGTTTAGCCTCAGTGAATTTCATGACTTGTCCAACATCGTCCCTATGTTGAACACACGGGTCTTTGTGGTCATCATTTCTCCAAGCATTTTTCCCCTCAAGGAAGGTTCCTTGATGTTGGTGAGGGGCTCATGATTTAGGGAATTGGATCTGTGCTCCAGTTCCCCAAATTAAGCCTGAATGCCTTCCACATCCCCCCCCCCCCAGGCGCTGTATAATCCTCCGGGTTTAGCGCTTCCCCTTTGATTATAATAATAATAATAATCCAAGCATTTTTGTGTTCGGTGATCCCAATGTCCTATATGTGGGGGAAGCAGCCAGATTTCTGGACATTAGGATCACCGAACACAAAAATGTTTGCAGAAATGATAACAGTAAAAACGCGTGTGTTCAACATAAGGACAACGATGGACACCTCATGAAATTCAGTGAGGCCAAACTAGTGAAAGAAGACGATTTAAGACGTGCAGGAAAAAGCCAGTAATTACACCACATTTACTTATAGTGTCGTGGTGAGAGTAGTAGTGGAGAAGATCGCGTTGGTAGGTAGGCTTTCGATAGACTTTAAAACGAAGTTCATAGTCAGCTTTGCAGAGAACATCCAAAATGGATGAATAATAGGCTCAAATTCTTTTAGAACAGAAGAAAGGAATTTATATGCACATCAAAAGAGGTGAGGTTCAAATTATGAATCAGTATATTGACATTAAGAGAGACGTTAAAAAGGTGGATAAGAAAGAAAAGCTGAACGGGACTACGAAATTAAAGTTGCTAGGGATTCGAAAACTAACCCAAAAGTTTTTTCCAGGTGTATAAAACAAAAGTTAGAGAAACCATAGGTCAGCTTAAAAATAACTCTGGGCATCTTATTGACAAGGAGAATGAAATGTACTCTATTTTTAATAATTATTTTCTCTCGGTTTTCACTCAGGAAGACACTACTAATATCCCTACAATTAGGTTTTATAGTGGGCCTAAAGAGAATAAATTAAGTAATATAACAGTCACTAGCGAAATGGTTATGAAACAAGTAGACCGACTGAAACAAAATAAATCCCCAGGCCCTGATGAGCTGTTTTCGAGGGTTCTTAAGGAGTGCAAAATGGAACTCTGAACCATTGACCAACATTTTTAATATATCTCTTCAGACAGGTGTAGTGTCCGATATTTGGAAGAGGGCAAATGTAATTCCTATTTTTAAAACAAGGGACAAGTCGTTACCGTCAAATTACCGCCCAGTAAGCCTAACCTCAATTGCAAGCAAATTACTAGAGTCAGTTATAGCTGGTAATATAAGAAGCCATCTGGATAAGCATAATTTGATTAATGATACACAACATGGATTCACGAGAGGCCGTTCCTGCCTAACTAATTTACTAACTTTCTTCAGGAAAGCTTTTGAGGCTGTTGATCATGATAAAGAATTCGATATTGTTTATTTGGATTTTAGTAAGACTTTTGATAGAGTACCACACCAGAGACTGTTAGGGAAAGTGACAGCTCATGGCAGAGGGGAGGGAATAATCACCCCATCCCCCGAGAACCAAGAAGGATGGATCACTGTGGACAACAAGAAGCGCCGTCCGTCCAAGGAGCAGACAAACCAGCTCAACCAACCTGGCAAATTCAAGGTGAAATCTTACGGGGAGCACAGAACCCACTACGGCGTCGTTACACACCTGGAATCACGACACAACCTTAGGTTCAAGATATGGTTCAACCTGAGAGGTGAACCAATACTGACTCCTCTCAACGAAAATAGACTTTGAGACAGACCGCTCCTTCACCTTGGAGGAACTGGATTCTCGACAGAAGATCAAGGGTGCAGTGATGCGATACCCTCTGATGGTGTCCATCGAGGCAGTAGCTGCTCACCCCAGTGCGCTGTCAGCTCAACTTCTCAAAGCAAAGACGGCAGGCAACGTACCAACCCAGTAGGTCCTCACACAGCATGTCGAACCGCTGCCATCCCAGTTGGACCTCGGTTCTTGGGGCAGTTACGATGTCAGGACCTTCACGGAAGAACCAGTTCGCTATTTCAAGTGTCAGCGTTACGGACACCTAAGTGCACTCTGTTCGAACAGAGTAATCTGCGGTGTCTGCAGCCAGCACCACCCTACCGAGGACTGCATCACCAAGCTGAAAAATGCATCGCCACCCACTTCACAATGCCCGAACTGCAGGAAGAAACACCATGCCTGGAATTCTTGATGCCCCGAGAGGCTCACCAGAATTCAAGGAGTACAAGAATAGTATACAATACCGACAAGATGAAAACTGAGACACATGTCCAACATCTGGGTATCTTTATTGTAGACGTTCCGCCATCCAGTGGCTTTATCAATACAGATTTTAGAACATAATTTGAAGACAGTAGAACTATATACAAAAGATGAGGTAATCAATCCCTCAGCCTTGGAATAGGTGTGAAGAGCACCATAGTCAAGAAGATTCTGGAGCAGAGGCAAGGAAACTGGCGCTTGATACAAAGAATTCTTCAGCACTTGTGCAACCTTTGGACAACGACCTACTTACACTAGTGGATGGTCCCACTGTGACCCCGCCTCCTGCTACGACTCACCTGACTGCAGTATATAAGCCATCTCTCTGGCCCTATGCTGTACTTCCTGCAAGAGTGATGGACTGAACACATCGACTGCAGGCTGAGGGACTAATTACCTCAAACTCCTCCTCTCCGTTTACCTTCCTGCTTTGTATTGGACTGATGAAACCACTGTGTGGAGAACGTTTCTTAAATAAAGATTCCCATATGTTGCATAAGTGTCTCAATTCTTAAACTTGTCGGTTTTCAAAACCATTCATAACATCTGTCAGACACTGCAACATCATGGGATCTTGATAAAATGAATTCTTCAACATTTGTCCAACCTTTGGACGAAGACCTACTTCTACTAGTGGATGGTCCCACTGTGATCCCGTCTCCTCCTGCTTCGACTCGCCTGACTGCAGTATATAAGCCACCTCTCTGGCCCTATGCCATCCATCGGCTTCGTTTGGGTTTTCCCACAGCCAAGATAATTGTAGACAAGCCAGAGGAGGAGATGTGCCAGTACTGCCAGCACGTTGTCCAGCGCCCCCTAACACACTATCTCCTGGAGTGCCAAGCTACTGAGACACTCCTCAATTAACTAGCACTGATGTCCCCTCCCGAAGAAAACCCAGAGAAGACTGCGGCTACACTAGTATACCATGGAGTCAACGAAATACACAAGCTGTTGCCCGTGATAACGACATATTCTCCTCCTCGATAGTGTCCACACTTAGGAGCACATACGGTGTTGTCGCTTATGAGATGCACCAGATGAACGACCAGAACAGTGCTTGAGCAGCATACGTTGCAACATTGCAGAACCCTTTCTCCTTCGGGAACCAGAAACGTGTCATCGCAAGATTAAGACCCGTGTCAGGACTCCGGTCTTGGCGAACATTATACACACATACATACATATGCTGTACTTCCTACAAGAGTGATGGACTGAACACATCGATTCCAGGCTGAGGGACTGATTACCTCAAACTCCTCTCCGTTTACCTTCTTGCTTTGTATTGGATTGATGAAGTTACTGTGTGGTGAAAAGTTTCTTCAATAAAGATTCCCATACGTTGCATAAGTGTTTCAATTCTTCAGCGATGTAATAACTTTTATTGCAAATCACACCCTCAAGGTCCTACAATGGAACATTCAGGACCTGAGGGACAAACAGCACCTCTTGTTGGAGGCAGTAATTCGGGATCGGGTTGACATCGTCTTGCTACAAGAAACTCTGACTGTCCCAACTATGTGCCCAAGACTCCCCCGTTTTACTGAGTATTTTTGGCACATGGAAGCGGGCGTTCACTGCACAGGCACAGCTGTATTCCTATCAGATGCGATACCTCACGAGGTTATAGCCAACCCTGTAGACTGTGGGAAGGATGTCGAGAAACAGGCCAT